TCAAACATACCCAAACGGCCCAGAACCTGCTCCACCATTAGCGTGGATCATACCCATGACAAAAGCAGGGATGGCGGATACAAAGAAAAATCTTACATATTCTACTTTCTAGTATCTACATACAAAAAAAGAATTTTATTAATTCAGAACATGATAAATAGACGAATTACCAATCCAGGACATTACAATCAATGAAAATAATTGTAGAAATTACTTTTACTTTTGATTAATTTTAGAAATTAAATGAAAAATAATCAACAACTCACGTTTGTGGGGGTGCTTGGTTAAGAGCCTATCACACATTTTTTGGCTGATTTGATCAAAATTTTGCCTTTTGGCCAAATCAATTGGCTAAGTAGGTGTTTGTTAACAGGCCTATTTGTTTGGCTTTTTAGCCCAAACAACCAAAAATATGAGAAACTACTAATCCTGACATTTTACAAGTGGCTTTTTCATATCCTTTCATATATTCCTTAAATACCCACGTGACCACATCCACTTGCATCCGCATTCCATACATCATTTAATTTTCAAAACCATCTCCAATGTAATTAACTTGGTGCGGAAGATAAAAACAACAATGAAGAGAGCAAGCCTATATCCAACAAAATACATAGTATCCTTTGAGCTATTTCTTCAATTTAGCTACAATTAGTCTTGGGGGAAGGGAAAGTCCATTTGAAGAAGGTTAAAGAAGTTTTGTTATAAAATATACACGTACTTTTTAGAAATAATGGCACAAATATTACCTTCTAACTTTTATTAGACAAAAATATGATTGAATTAAATTTTGACAAAAAAGTGACCCACTTCTTCTTCTTAAAAAAACCTCCGCTTCTTCCTTCTAAAAAAACGTCCTCTTCTCTTCTAAAAAAACCACGCTTCATCTTAGTTTCTCCTTCTGCGCACGAACAGGGATGATTGAGCAAGTCTTCGACGGCGAGAAGACCTCCAGAGAAGACGAGCGTGACCTCTAGTGAAGACGACGACAATCACTGTGACACCAATGAGAAGCGGAAATCATGGCAACCACCACTGCGACACTTCAACTTCTTAGTTGCTGTTGTTCGCTAACTTCATCCTCCTTATCCCTTCAATGATGGCATTGTTGACGGAAATTCACATCTCTGGCAGCGATTACATATCTACGGCGGCGATTACGGATCTATTGCGGCGATCTCAGATTGTTGGTGCAAGGATGTCTCTCTGGGATGCAGCTGGGCAGCGCTGGGGCGGATTAGGGTGTGGTTTCATGCAGACTAGGATATGGTGGGTTGTGGCGACGGTCGGGGGGGATGAAGAGGGGGAGGGGGCGGATTAGTGCTTGGGTTGCGGCTGGGGGTGATGTTGAATCGGGTTGTGGCTGGTGGGGGCGGGGAGGGGCTAGGCGGTGGTCATCGTATGAAGCGGTGCGGCAGTGGTCATTGGGCGGTGTCACTATGGCCGACGACGGTGTCACTCTAGCGGTGTCCTTGTGGCCGGCAACAGTGTCATTGTGGTCGGCGACAGCGGAGATGTCACTGCGGAGGCGTCACTGTTACCGGCAATAGCGGAGATGTCATTATGGGAATGTAAGTGTGCATTAGTCACATTTTTGTCCAAATTTAAATGTGGTGCTTTGTTTTTGGAAATTAGCCTGAGTTTTATTAATATTAGGGGAAAACCCCTACTTTTGATGTTATAACAATAATAACAATAATTAAAATAATAATAGTAGTAGTAATAAAAGTAATAATAATAATTCTAATAATAATAATAATAATAACAATAATTAAAATAATAATAGTATTAGCAATAAAAGTAGTAGTAATAATAATAATAATAATAATAATAATAATAATAATAATAATAATAATAATAATAATAATAATAATAATAATAATAATAATAATAATAATAATAATAATAATAATAATAATAATAATAATAATAATAATAATAATAATAATAATAATAACAACAACAACAACAACAACAATACAGATGGAGAAAGATGGTAAATTTTACTTTTTTAAATCATAAAAGCGGTTTAGGATGTTATAGTAATTACATTAACTAAAAATTATTTAATATCCTTAATAATTATTCAACAAGTTATCAACTAATTATAAACAACCATTTAATAAAATATCATTTTACGAATCACTAATACCATCAGTTAATCAAAATTGTCAACAAAATATGTTGTTATCAATCAGCCAGCTAAGAGCCAATGGTAAATTGTCAAACACCCCTATGGCTTTTGGAAAGAAATAGGTATGACTCCGAACTTCGTGTGATTTTGAGCAGGTGAAATTTCTAGAAAAAATTTCACAAATATTATTGCTAGAAAAGTGATGGACAAAAGTGACTTGATAACTTTAAGTGAGTATAATTGTGTTAGAAGTTACTATGGTGTACTTAGTATGATGTGAACTTTTAGTCACATTTTTGTGCATGCTTTTTGTAGTAATATTTTAGGAAAAAAAACCAGGCTTTCTTCCAGAGACAAGATTCCTTTTCTCTTCATATATCATTTCCGAAGACGATTTTCTTCTTTGATGAACAAGAATCCCTCCTCTGCTCACATATCATTTCTATCGTGATGAAGCAGAGGGATAAAGTTAATGACTCAAATAGGACCAATCACAAAGTTAATTGCATATTTAGGACCATCAACGAAAGATAATTTTCATAGGACTAATTCCAGGACAGTTGGACCCAAATACCCCTCTTTTAATTTTTTAAAATTTAAAAATGTAAACTAAAAAACTATTGAAACCCTAAATGTCAACTGCTAGCAGCAGTATGCCAGAGTCGGAGCCACCAGCCGCCGCCGACTGCCGCTACCCTCTCCAACGTCGCTGACGTCGCCGATTGCTGCCACCGCCGGCCATCGTGCTCGCCGGCACATCGTCGCCACCAAATCGGCGTTTCCACCCGCCTCCGCCTCTGCCATCATATCCTCATCATCGCAGCCAATGTTAAATCTAGGTTCACCACTTCAACTTTGAGCACACCACTGTCGTAAATGTGCCATTAACTTGGCAAATTTGGATTGAAGGTTACTTACAAATCTGCCATAAAATTGGCAGATTTACCATAAAATTGGCATATTTATCTTGACCGGTTAACACAAAACTGCCATAATCTTGGCAAAATAAGAATTCCACAACTAAACTTTCAAAAATCAAAAAAATAATAATAGAACAATAACTTTTTAAACAGAAATCATAATTTAATGACAATAAATTAAAAAATGATTTACACAAAAAGTGTTTTACCATAATATGATTCTCAGAGTATATTTCTGCCATAAATTTGGCAAAATTGTATGTCATCATCCGAAAATATGCCATAAACTTGGCAAAATTGTATATCATAGTTCAAAAATCTGGAAAATTGATTTTTTTTTAAATGAAGAAATCAGGAAACAGAAATTTGAAATAGAAGTCCAAAAATCAACAAATCAAATGTCAAAACTAAAAAAACGGAGGAATGAATGAAAAATCAGTTTCAAAGCCAAAAAATAGAATAATAGGAGGAGGAGGAAGAAGAAGAGAGGAAGAGGAAGAAGAAGAAGAAGAAGAAGAAGTGGAAGAAGAAGAAACCTTACCAAACTGCAGCGTACGCACGGTGGAGTCGGCGGCGGGGCGGCGGCAGGGCGGCGGCGACGATGGCTAAGGATGAAATCAAGGACGGCGTACAGACATTGTGGTGAAGTTGATCTATCTTATGTGCAGAGATGGAGCAGATCGATCAAATTTGCTATGCAAAGAAGAAGAATCAGATCGGGAAGAATGGGAGATGGAGGATGGGTGTGATGGAAAGAGAGAGATAAGGGTATGCGCATAAGAGATCCACGATCGGCTAAAATAAGGGTAAAAGTGGAATGAGAATTACGTACGTTTTAAAATAGGAGTAATATGGTCCTATTTGGGGAATAAAACACATATGATCCTATTTAAGAATTTCTCCCTTCTTTTAGTCCTATATGGGACAATTTCTCTAAAGTTAGTCAGTACATGAGTACATCCAAACAAATTCACTCAGTCAGGTTCGATTTTCTTCAAGCCTGAATTTCAGTGTTGTTTTACAAACTTTGATTTGATTCAGTTTGATTGGAAACAGGGGCGGCCCGGGGTAGGGGGCGGTGGCCCTATACCCAAAAAATGAAAATTTTTAAGTCCAAGATTATTTCTTTACAGCATGTTTGAGTAGGGGTGGGATCGGTCCGGTCTGGGTCGGGTTTTTGCTAAACCCGGAAATTACCCGGAAGGTCTCGGGTTATGAAAATTAGGGACCGGAACAAAGCCCTTTATATTCGGTCCGAGTCGGGTTTTTGGTAGCTCGGGTTCGGTCCGGGTTCGGGTTGGACCGGTTAAAGCCCGGCCGTGAAATATATCATTGTTTTATATTTTAACACGTATTTTCAAATAAAATTAATCAAAAATACAAACCGCAAATAATAACACAAATTTTAGTCTCCAAAATCACCAACAATTCAAATTTAAAGAAGATAATTATCTTAATATTTTATGTAAGATGTATATATATAAATAATATAGGTTTCTTAAAAATATTACGAAATAAATTTTATAAATCAAAAAGTTACTAGAGTTGCTATAAATATATTCTCATGGTCATCATTACGCTAAAACAAATTCAACATATTTGTAGTCACTAAGAGTTACTAAATCTTTTTTTATCCACCGTGATTATAATCATATATTAGGAAATATTTTATTTATATTCATATACTATATTAATTTTATATTAAAAGTAATTATTTCGGGTTTTTTCGGTCCGGGCCGGGTTATAGATTTTAAGGCCCGTTAATGAGCCCGGAATTTTCGGTTCGGTCCGGGTTTTTTAAATTCGGGCCGGTTAAAAAGAAAAAACCCGGACCGGGATCATAATTCGGGTCGGTCCAGGGTTGGTTTCCGGGTTTCGGTTCGGTTTTTCCCACCCCTATGTTTGAGTAGGCTGAGTTTTAATTCTAAATTGAAAAAAAACCGGTGTAACTAAGTAACTAACGCGCAGGAGTTAAGTAGACCAGAGTTCCGCCTTCGCCGGTTCCGTCTTCGGCTTCGTAGGTCGCCGGACGTCCTTCCAGAGACTTCCGGCCTTCAGGATTCAGCCAATCGGCGTCCTGCACAGCTTCAACTCTCCGATCCACTAAGCCAGCAGGCCTTCAAGAGTTCTGGTCAGGTACACCTTTCGACCTTCAGCATCCGTAATTCGGCCATTGTTTTACAGAAATACAGAATTGCAGTTTTCAATATTTTCTTTTATTAATTTATTTGACAAATATTCACATATGATTAAGTGATAAGTTTATTAAGTGATAAATTAATTTAATTCATAGTTGTTTAATGTTTATAAATGATATGAATAATTGATAAATAGTTAGTTGATTTGTTACATTTTAATCACTTAATTGTTGATTTTATCTATTGAGTGTTGGTGTTAGAATTTGTTCATTTTGTTAGGTAAAATTATCAATTATAATTAAATTTATAAATTTAACTAATTTGATGGTTTAATAAAAATGGTTGAATCTAGATGGGAGAAAAAAATGAAGAGGAGAAGATTAGATAATGCGGCCCTATGTCAAAAGGGTGCAATGGATTTTTTTTGTTTTTATGAGCATTGAGCATAATGTGTTGGAAAAGCTTGAATATATGAAGCTGGAGACCTATAGTTGATGACTTTGCTTCACAATGTTCATCAAAGAATGTATTTAAGTAATTTTTTATATGGTTATTTTGAAAACATAATTCCACTGTGTTTAATTTAACGAATTCAAGTATTTTCTTAATTAGAAAAGTCTTCAAATATTATTATTTTGCATGTTAAATTAGGGCACCTCTGGTTTTACAATTTTTTTCATAAGTGGGTCCATTTTAATTTTTTTCGCCCCTAGGCCTTTAAATGTACAGGGCTGCCCCTGATTGGAAATATAATTTTCAAGTAAACTTGTTTCTCAAACCTGATTTGTGGGATTGAACATATTCTGTAGAGCAATTCTGGGCTACCTTGCTGTGTGATGATTTAGGGGTAATTGAAATGATTCACATAACTCATCTGCCAGTTATGATATTCTTAATATGAGCAATCCTGGGTTATCTTTCTGTGTGATAATTTAGGGGTAATTGAAATGATTCACATAACTCATATGCCATTTCTGTTATTCTTAATATATCTAAAGTATAATTGCATTGGACCACTTGGAATTCAAGAACCTAAAAAAATGCTTTAATCAATTAAAGGTAAAAAAACTCAAACTGTAAATAGCCTATTTTATGAAAAAGTGAGTGTATATAATTGCAAATCTGTGTTAGGTTTGTGTAGTCATTCACCCATTTGTCATTGCAAAAACCATCATAGAGTGATTTCTCTATTCTAATATTTATCAGATTTGCTTCCTAATTCTGATTACTTTCTCTATTCTTAATTTCATCAAAGAAGTTAGCACATTTAAACACTGTTTGTATAATAAAATGCATTTAGAAACCTTATCATTGGAATTATTTTCCTTTTCTTCCCTACTCCAGATAATGTAATTGTGGATCTCATATAAATCTAAGAGTTCTGGTTTGAGCTATTTTTAGATCCATATTTTTCCTTATTAGCTAAAGTGCAGTACTTCGAGAAAGGAAGAAATACTGATTCTTCTTTGAGAAAACTCCTTTCTTGATTAATTCATGTCTCCATCGTTTTTTTAAATTTACAATTTAAGGTTTGATATTTCAATGAACTAACTGATTATACTTTGATACAGACTATTCTGTTATCGTAATCTCCTTGGAAACTGAACAAACTAAAATTTATTGGAAACAGACAATGCTTGTTATGTTTTATCTGTTCTCTAGGCACAATTGATAATTTGATACCAAGGAGCTGAATGTTGCCATGAGATTTCTATAATTATTCATTTTACAATTTTTGTGTGGTAAATGAGATAAAAACTGATAAATATAAATACTGTACTCTAATGACCATTATGACCCAAGTCATTACTATCACTCTTGCTTTAAACTAGCAATTGAGAATGCCTTCAAAGGTTATTTAACGAGGTTATTTAATGAAGTATTCACTCCCTAGAGGAACTGAATAATACCCAAGAAATGGTATCAACTTAGTGCATTTGAGAGAGAAAATTCTCCCTCTCAAATCTGCATCCTTCACTCATTTCCCATAATATGCACTATTTTATTTTTAGTCCATGTCTAATTTTGAAACCACTCTTTAGAAAAAAAAAATAATGTCAATTGCGTAAAAGAGTGTTTGGGGTTGCTTAAAAAAGCACTTTTCAGCTTTTGGCTTAAAAAAAGTTGAAAAGAGTGTTTTCAAATGACAGCTTCTGCTTAAATTAATCACTTAAAAGCTAAAAGCTGGAAGCAGGTAGAAGGGTGCTTTAAACTGCTTCTCACTTTTTCTATTACACAAAAAATACTTATTTTACCAAACACTACCAACTTTTACTTTTTTAGAATCACTTTTTTCTCAAACACTACCAACTTTTACTATTAATCACTTTTCCCAAAATCACTTTAAAAAATCACTTTTTTAAAGTTGAAGCAATTGCAAACACTCCCTAAATCTACTAGAATCTTTTCAATTTAAGCTTTTATAATTTTTTTGAGGATAATATTAGATTCAAAATAATGTAAAAAATCATTCATATTTTTTAGATATGCACTAAAAACCTTCTAAAGAATAAAATTAAATACTTTTTGAATACATGACAAACAATTAGAGGAAAACGATTAGCCGGGGTTGTTTCGTTGTGAAACAGATGTTACTATCATCAATTCATCATTCATCTGTGATGGACTAAAAATAAAACCAACGTTAATTTCAGGGATGAAAAACAAAAAATAATTTTGTAGGGACGTAAAACAAAATGCACTATATTTCAGGAACTAAAAACATATTTAAACCTAACTAAAATTATTGTCCAAACCTTATTATGGCCAAGAAAAGTCAATTTGTGCAAGTTTTATGGGACGGAGAGTGTATATTTTTATGATAAATTAAAAATTAAATAACTTAAAATTACTTCTTGATGCCTAAATAACTAACGCACAACTTCGTGATTTTCTTTTCAGGCAAGTTACAAATCGCATTGCCCAATCTATCCTGACCATTAGATCAACCTGATTGTGCATCTGGACATTTGATCTGAGCTTCTACAAACTTAGTGCAATCCCACCGCTTCACCACCTTCTTCCCGCAAACAATGTGGACAAAAAGGCTCACAACTTTATCAAGAACCCTCTCTCACCGTTATCCAATCCTCTGGTCAACGTCACCTCAAATCCCATTTCATTCCTACTCACAAGTTTCGATTCCATTATCTCCTTCATCTGCTTCTAAGTTATTCCAAAGTCAAAGACGTCTTATTCCCAAATTCCAAAGTGGAAAATATGTTTGCACTGTATCTTCTATAGAGAAACTCAAGTGCTGGAACTGTAATTCAGTGGCATCAAGTAACCATCCGTTTCTTTTTTGTGAAACTTGTGCTAGTGTTCAACATGTTGATGAATCCATTGATTATTTCCAAATTTTTGGATTGTAAGTCCTATTTCTCCGCAAGGGTTTTATTTCATATCCGTCTAGAAGAGTCCACTTTGGTTAAATGAAATATAAAAAAGGAGTAGGATGGAAATTGTATTTTACAAAAAAAAATAGTAAAGTTGTGAATTGGTCAAACAAGACTTTCTTGGGGATGATGTTATACTTTTTTTTCTGTTACGTAGAATTACTATAACTAAATAACCAGCAGAAATATGATCTTTAAACTTCACCATTAATTCAGTGTTTCAAATGGTACTAGCAGATCTATATTTATTTTATTACCTATTTATTTATATTTTTTAATGTTATACGTAGTATAACTTTGAGAATACATTTGTATTTTTTTTCCCATTAAGCAATGCTATTGTAGTTCCTAACTTATCTTTGGTCATGACTCATGAGCTCTTGTAGTGCAAGTGTTTGAATTTTCATTTTTTTTTGTGTTGGTTTGAGCTAAACGTTGTCACTTGCATCTTCAAAGGGAGAAAAGATATGAAATTAAGGGGCAGAATCTTGAGCTCAAGTACAAAGACTGGCAGAGGAAGCTCCATCCTGACTTGGTTCATACGAAATCCAAGGTATATTCCCTTGATCCCTGATTATTTTTCATTCTAGCGAATCTAGCCATTCAAATCTGTCCTAAAATAATAATCGCTTTAGGAATCCAAGATATAATTTCCACTCTTCTTTCCTAGTTTCCCTTATTCAATATTTGATAATTGAAAGATTGATACTGGGAATGATAAGATTTATTACATGACTCGAGTCCTTGATATTACAAAATATTTTTAAAGTTCCATATCTTGAGATACATAAGAATAAATTTCGAGAGAAATATTGATAGTTTGTAATAAATATTAATTAGAAAAAGAGAATCACAAGGCATTATAAATAAGTGCTTTTATGTTATTCCTTAATTTGTGTGCAATTTCCTAAAATGGGGTGGAGTTTGAAGTATATAAAGCTATTTATTTTTGCGGTTTGATTTTTTGTGGAATAAGTATTTTTGTTATACGGTTTGGTGGTTGATGATTTTGATTTGGCATTTTGTTAGAAAGAAAAGGAGTTTGCTGCTGAACAGTCTGCTCGTGTAATCGATGCATATCGGACTCTCACCAACTCATTGTCAAGAGCAAAATATCTTGTAGGTTTGTGTTTTATGTAGTTATTGTTTGGTTATATCCCTTTTCATTCTAAAGCTGGCCTCTCATTCTCTCAAGATCAGAGCTATATCATATTTTCATGCTCCAATATTTGGATTTCAATTGAATACAATTGCTTGGTTTATTCTGACTGGTTTTCTTTGGTGAGACTTGACATTTTTTTAAACAAATAAACTCTTCTGCTGCATTTTTATTTATAAATGCGGATATAAAATAGTGAAACATAACATGAGACTTGGTTGAAGTTCTAAACATGATACCACTCTTGCGTGTGAGCGCAAAACTGATAGCAGCATTAAATACTCGAACTAATATATATCCTTCTGTTTTGCTTTGCAATGGTCAATTTTGTAATACATTTTGGTTTATTGTCTCTATGTGTGTAATATATGTTATGTTTTTATCGGGTACATTCTTTCTGGGTAGGTGAAGTTGGAAGGATGGCACGTAGACGAAGAGGAGAGGATTTTGGACCCTGAGCTGCTAGGGGAGGTATTTCATCCACCACCCTTGTGACTCTTTTTATTTCCTAACTGGCCACTTACCTCTTTGAACTGTGAAGATTATGGAGATCAGGGAAACTATTGAAGAATCAGGAGACCCACAATCATTGAAACATATTCAGGCACAGGTATACAAATGACTATATGAGCTCGTAAAACATATGTTAGAGTCCTCCAAGATTACAGCAATTACAGGAATTATTATCAAGAAACAAACTGAAATTCTTTATTGAAGAAGATGAACAGTACAGCGACCTAGGCAGAAGCCTCCCAAAAGAGAAGAGATCGTCAGTCTCTAATCTTCCCAGTTCCCAGACCAAAGTCCCAAAAGCCTTCCTACTAACCCCCCATTACATCTATTTATACTAAAATACTATATAAGCCCTTATTACTATTATTATTATTATTATTATTATTATTATTATTATTATTATTTCTATTATTAAACTAATAGGTAGGTCCCTATCAATACTCCCCCCTAAACATCCACCTTGCCCTCAAGGTGGGCGGTAGGAGACAGCCAGAATCTTCTGCTTCTTCCTCTTCCTTGCTCCTCTCCCTTCCCAGTACATAACTGCTTGCTGGACCAGAAGCTTTGGTATTTGTTCCTTCCAAATCACTGCAATTTCATTTGTTGCAGTAGCCTCCAAGCATTCACTAGCTGCAATTGTTTCCTTGTTTTCATCTTCAAGGATTCTCACTTCTGGAGTTATCAATGTGTTGGATGCATATTTGATGTTATTCAAGTTACTCAACTCATTGTCTGCAACAAGCCCCATGCAATTTTCTCCATTTACAATCCACTCTGTCAGGCAGTTAGTATCAATGATAGAATCATTTGTAATAGCAAGATTTGTCTTATACAACTTCAACAGCCAACATAAGTGGTGCACAACAATGCTACCATGCGATGTCAGATTTTCTAACTGGCAAGGACCCCAGTCTGGCCTGTTTTCTTCTTCCCTTTTCCTCATAAGAGAGCCAAAAACTCTTGCAGCTAAAGAACGAACTTCAGGGACCACAACAAACTCCTTTATGTTATAAACCTGTCCCTCAACATTGCTGCCAAGAGCAAACTTATCTGTCCATTCCAATCCAAAATCTGCGGAGCTCCAAGATATAAGCTTGACAAGCTGGCGTTTAAAAAGACAGCATTCTTGACTAAATGAAACATCAGTTGAAATACAAAATGACTGCTCATAGGTATCTATTTCCCTGTCATCCTTAGCTTTGTTTTTGGGAAAAAATTCAGTCAATAGCTCTAGATAACGAGCAGACACACCACTTGCACATTGTACAATGATACAAAAACTGTCAGCAATATTAAATTTACCCTTTATTATCCTCCCAGGATTGACCTCTGAATGAGTGAAAATTGATCCTTCAATTGCACTAGTTTGTGGCTTATTATTCACCAATCGCATTGCCAAGGCATCCCATAATAACTCAAAGCCTTCACCGACCAGATTTTGGTCCTGACTTTGAGTATAAGCAGCACACTTCTCCCTCCATGGAAATGATAAGTATTCTGTTTCAGCACGAACAAACACTCCTGTCCTTTTTGACTTATCTGCGTTAGTGACTTCCTCCTCCTGCTCTTTCAATTCTGACAACTTCAACTCAGTGTTCATCATTGGCGATAAAGTTCCCTGTGATCCATTTTCGTATACAGCTTGGTATACAGCTTGGTCTACGGCTATTAAAATTGATGAAGTGTGCGCATGGTAAGGAACTGCTAGAGTCGACAACTGCGAACTGAAAGAGACAGAATCTGCGAACGATAAAGGTGAAAAGACCTGCGAACTCAGGGAAACAGCTTGCGACGAAGATGGGAATTCTTCTGTCACTCGCGTCTTTCTTGGACACGAACTGATAGCCGGTGAAGAATTCTGAGAATGGTGAGGCGAAGAGCTAAGAGAAGAGTTATGTGAGGAACTCTGCAAACAACGATGCTCAACTGTCGATGAAGTTGACGATTCTCCTCTCACTCGCGTTGGACTTGGTCGTGAACTGCTGGATGATGATGACGTTCGCGACTTCGAACTGTGAGAGGAAGTTCGAGTCCGCGAACTGTTAGAAGCCTCTCGCGATGAAGATCGGTGCGATCTGGGAGCTTCTTCGCGCGACACAGTCTGCGCACTTAGCGATACCCTGGGGCAATTAATTCGCATCTGCGAACCGAAGGTTGTTGTTGACGAATGTCTTCTCGCCTGAAATTCGTTCATCGCCTCTAACTGTCCGGTCAACTTTTCTGCCATTTTTCTCATATCTGTTAATTTCTTCATCATCGATGTCTGCTCCCTCTCCAGCGACTCCAACCTCTTCTCCATTTCTGGTGTACAAAATTCTTCCATGATTCAGATTCTTGGTCTCCAGGAAGTATGGCTCTGATACCAATGTTAGAGTCCTCCAAGATTACAGCAATTACAGGAATTATTATCAAGAAACAAACTGAAATTCTTTATTGAAGAAGATGAACAGTACAGCGACCTAGGCAGAAGCCTCCCAAAAGAGAAGAGATCGTCAGTCTCTAATCTTCCCAGTTCCCAGACCAAAGTCCCAAAAGCCTTCCTACTAACCCCCCCATTACATCTATTTATACTAAAATACTATATAAGCCCTTATTACTATTATTATTATTATTATTATTATTATTATTATTATTATTATTATTATTATTTCTATTATTAAACTAATAGGTAGGTCCCTATCAAAAAACAAAAGGCAAAATTAGTTGTTAGATATATATCAATACAGGATGTAAGAGCTTTTCTATTTTCCTTCATCCTATCTTACTTTGCAGCTAAGGGAAAAGTATGAAGAGTGGTCAAAATCATTTGCAGTAGCTTTTGAGAACAGAAACGCAGAAGAAGCTGCATCATCTATCCGAAGAATGACATACTACAAGCGGGCAGATGAGGAAATAACTAAAAAGCTATGACACCAGACCACCCCACCATTGCTTGTTACTCGTTAGTAAGGTTTTACCTATCAAGCAGTTTATTTGTACCTTTTAAAGATTATGAGCCGCCCTTTACGATTTTGTGCACCTGAAGTAATTGAGATCTTTGAGTTCAAGAGCAGTGGTCATTTGTTTTCCCTGTCGTCATCTCCAATAAGAGACAGATGGAAAGAACTTATCAAATGATTCTGACTTCTCAGACGTTTCCTCATATGAAAGATAATTTATATGCAGGCTCAGAGGTTGTAATGAGACAATAGAGGGAACACCCTTGTTCCGTCTGCTTCTTTGTTTGTATTGTTTATTGTTAATGTTAATACATAATGTGATTTGGATGCCATTTCATTATTATATAATGAGAGCATTAGAGCATGTTTTGTCGATTCACTAAATATATTGCGTGTTTAGGACTATTTAGTTCCCAATTGTGTATTTTGGATTCAAAATGGTCCTTAGTCCTTGGCTCCTTGAACCTTAGCGGATTAAAATTCTCTTCATAGATCATATGATAGACGGTAAAATAGGATTACATGACACAATCGACTATCTAATTGAGTTAAAAAGGTTGAGGCTCAATCGAGTATAATAGTACCACTACTATATAATCAAAATTTACTAGTGCATAAAATTAAGGAAAAATTGATTGTAATAATCCCAACTATTGGCGGTCCGCTCATAATAATCTCAACTATTGATTATTCCAGAATAATCCCAACTTTAGGGACCTTCCGCCAATAATGGTCCCTATAAATAAATTCTTGTAGTTTTTTAAGTGGATGAGATGAGATATAACAAGTAATCCCTATAAATAATGTCAATGTTAAATTTTTACGCTTAATTTCTATTTAAAATTCACTTGTTATAGAAGTTAATATCTGGTCATGGACCATTATTTGCGGACGGTCTATATAGGTTGGATTATACAAAAATAATCAATAGTTGGGATTATTGTTAGCGGACCGCCAATAGTTGGGATTATTATTTTCAATTTTTCCTAAAGTTAAAGTAAGAAATGCGGCTATTTATTCGTTAAAAAAAATTGTGATATTTGGTAAATACGTAGCATATTGGCGCACTCGCATCATAGATTTATGATTTTTCTAATGCGAAATTCACAAGAATAATCCATACTTTTAGGGATTCTACATTAACAATCTCTACAGAGTGTCCACACAAATAATCTCAACTAGGAATAGTGTTCATCAGAATAATGCTCGTTCTATACTTTCAACACCTCCACTATTAAATAAGCATTAGTTTGAATTAACTTTAATTTATTCTTATGTACACTATATATTGCTAGTACGGATTATATTTATTGACACTCTAAGTATAAATTATTATTGTAGAATCCATAAAAGTATGCGACACTATTCCAATACTCAGTTTTGGTTCCTAGACTGAGTTAATAACAGTAGTCCTCGACTATTGAGGCAATATTTGGTTCTCGAATATTAATTTTATTAGGTTGGATCATCGATTTTTATAATTTTCTTTTATCAAGTTTAGTCCTTTATAGATTTTTCTAGGCCAAAAATATCACCTCTACACTTGTGAAAGAAAAAAACATGACTAGTTTTCATTTTTTCAAAAATATAAGTAACCCGTGTCTAATTAACATACTTCTTTTTAATTCTAATTCCTACTCAATTACCTGCGTGTAGCCTTTAGGTTCTAGTATACACGACAATCACACTATATAATAAAATAGTAGATAGTGGATGGGAGTGTTGATGATAGTTTTGTATTCAATAGTTCTTGGTGTACACCCTGGGTTACACCGTGGGGTACACCCATTTATTTGCCCTTCTCACGGACAAAAAACACACAAATACAGACATTTTCTTTGAAAGTGTCGGTGTGAGTAAAATTAGTTTCCAGATTTGTCAGGTTGGTTGCACGGAAACCGTTGTCGCTGTACACAGACATTAGTTGTCTGTGTAAACAAAAAAGTGTCGGTGTGAAAAATTAATTGGAAACCAAGTGTCGGTGTACACAGACGTTAGTAGTCTGTGTAGACAAAAAAATGTCGGTGTGAAAAAATTAGTTGGAAAACAAGTGTCGGTGTACACAGACGATAGTTGTCTACTTGTCTGTGTAGACAAAAAAGTGTCGGTGTGAAAAAATTAGTTGGAAAACAAGTGTCGGTGTACACAGACGTTAGTTGTCTTGTATAAAAAAAGTGTCTGTATATATTCAATTTTCGTCTGTGTACACAGGCACTATAGCAAACCAGTGTCTGTGTGGATAAAACGTAAAAAGTGAGAAGGAAAGAAAAAGAAGAAGATGGTGATGAAGATAATGAAGATGATTAGGGTGAACAAAACCTCAAAAAGAGAAGGAAAGAAGAAGATGAAGAAGGAGAAAGGAAGAAAGAAAGAAAGAAAGAAAGAAAGAAAGAAAGAAAGAAAGAAAGAAAGAAAGAAAGAAAGAAAGAAAGAAAGAAAGAAAGAAAGAAAGAAAGAAGAAAGAACAAGATGTTGAAGAAGAAGAAAAGGAAAGAAGAAAGAGAGGAGGGAGGGGGAACCGTATGATTCAAATGGGAGAGGAGTGGAGAGAAGAGAGTGGGAGAGAGGGGAGAGAAAAAAAGTTGGGAGGGAAGAAATAAGAAATGGGGGATTATATAGGGTGTACACCAAGGTGTAACCCAAGGTGTACCAAAAGAATTTTTCTTTTGTATTGGATACAAGAATGGTAGTAAGAATTACAAATCGAAGTATCAAATAGCTTTAGTGAATGGCAACTCTTACTTCTCTAGAGACTAGAATGAATGAACTCCTAATAATTTGTCAAAGATTTTTCAAAATTTTGGTCGAGAACTTAGGGTTGGTTTGCAACTCCTTTTAAAAAAATACTTCTTAGCTTTTGGCTTTAAAAAAGCACTTATTTTTCCAAACACTACAACTTTTATTTTTCTCGGCTTCCGCGTCAAAAGTGCTTTTACTTTTTTTATTACACAAAAAGCACTTATTTTACCAAACACTACCTACTTTTACTTTTCAAAATCACTTTTTTCTCAAACACTATCAACTTTTATTTAATCATTTCTCCCCATTTCATTAAAAAAGCACTTTTTTAAAAGTAGAAGCTGTTGCAAACAGACCCTTAGCCTTCAGATATATAAATATTTAAAGGTTAAGGTTTCATATTACATGAGGCTTACATGCCCAAAAACAAAGCTGACTCGGTCTAATAAAAAATCTATTAAATATACCTTCAAAGATAATTAATGAAATTGAACACAATAAAATATATTCCTAACACCACCCTTGCCCCTTATCCCACTGCTAGCTCCAGTTTCATCGGGGTTTTTTAATTTTTTTTTTTAATATTGTTGGAAAAGTTTTCCAACAATCACCTTGCATCGTATATATGATTAAGGCGTGACCCGATACTAGGATGTTTATTTGAATTAAGTAATATTTTTTATATGAGATTTATTATCCGTCAATAGATAAAATAACAAAAAAATTCCAATTAATTGTTCTCTAACATGAGTATCTGGACAAGATTTATGGAAAAGAATACCACAATTATGAAAATGATTAGTGAAGGAGGAATTCACAAATTTAGCACCACTGTCACATTGAAACATTTAATTTTACAAGTTGTTTTTGAAAATTACAAAAATGAGTAAAAACTTCAGATTTTCTGTGCATGAGATAGACTCAGGTGAAACGAGAAAAATCATCAATAAAAGAAACATTATATTAAAATTCTAAATTAGATAACATGAATGATTGCCAAACATCAAAATGAATAAGTTACAGCGGAGCTTTAAAATTATGAGTAACATCTTGAAAAGGAAGACAATGAGACTTATCCAATTTACATGAAACACAATTATGAGAAAAAGTACTAGAACTAGACATTAAACTGTGTTTCCTCTGAGATGATAAAACACGATCCCCACAGTGGTCAAGAGGTTTGTGCCAAACCGGGCCAGAAACAAGTGGTCTTTAAAACAAGAGATGAGAGTGGCGTGTATGCTGCTCTAAAAGGATAGATGCAATCTTTATTGAAGGGTCAAAGAAGTGTGGCTACCATGTGATTATCCTTAACAGTAAAATAATTTTTATTAAAGATAATAGCACAATCATTATCCGCACTCAAATGTTGAATAGATAACAAATTATATTTAAAGTGCAAAACATGATAGACTAGTTGTAAAATAAGCGGGCGGCTTACAGTATTTAAGCTGACATGACCAACGTTAGAAACTAAGATATTATTAACATTTGCAACTTGAACAAAAAAGGGCCAGTATAAATAGATTTATTAGATAAAACAAAGCTGACAGACTACATGTGGTGGAGGTGACTGAAAAGTGTTCTCAATAGATGAAAATCCTGTAAAAAAAAATGGGTAACACAAGATGATAAAGCATTAATACTATATAAAACTCTACAAGAATTACCCATAACCGAACCTGGAAATCCAGCCGGAGCATGCCCACGCACCGCATACGAATCACCGGAGGGGGGATGCTGCCAACTGAACTATACATAGGGCTGATACGCATAACTAGAAGCACCTGTAGGCGTCCCCTGCTGTCCATGAGGTTGTTTGCCATAGCTTTGGGCACGGCCCCTGTGACCGCGAACTTGTCCACCTTGGTAACCACGTCCGCCATTGCCGCCACGTGATAGAGCACACCCTCGGCCCGGAGCCCTGGCATCGGATTGACTGTGAGTAGCAAATTCCAGATGGCCTGGGTGAGAGGCATCAGACCGAAAGTGCATGACTCGTTGCTCCAATGCCATTAATTATGGACGGAGGCTCTCAAAAGTAAAACTGTCTGGGAAGATAGTGACAGATGTAATGAGGGACTCATAATCTAGTCCAAGGCCAAGAATAAAAATGAGGCTTCCGATAAATCTTTAGTGTATAAATCTGAGGTAGAAAAATCAATTAAGAGAGTTAGATCGGATAGAGGGGATGCATATATTTTATTTCTGTGAATTTTAGAAGGGCTATGCACCTATTTTTAATTATCTAAAATTGTGGGGGTGCTTAGTTAAATTATTATTACTTGTTCCATTGAGCGAAAATGAGCTTTATAACTCTTGGCTATTTTTGCATAAATTGAAACAGTGGAGCATATATATAATTTTTCTTAATGAAAGAAATAGTGTGTAAATGTGCAATACTTTATGCTATATTATTGTTGATACTAATGTGATCCTTTTTGGAGAATGTTTACACACTAGATGATGCATATATTGATTACCTGTATATACGTTGTTGAAACAAAAATGATGAGTTTTTTGAAAATGTGCTTCCTGTGAACTTGAACACAAGACTGTTGCACCATATAGTGAGTGTGATCCAGTACAAGAAAATGAACCTTTAATGATGAACCTTCTCTTTTGAGAAGAAGTAAAGATGTCAAGGACAGAGAAATATTTTAGAAATGGTTTTATATACATATCTTATTATTAATGAACTTTTGATTGATTCACAAGCTGTTCTTAGAAATAAATAAATAAAAAAATGGCTTGAGGCTTACAAACTTTCAATTTCATCAAACGTATGTTAAAATTATTTTTTTTAATGGAGAGCTAGAGGAAGAAATTTATATGGTGCAACCGGGGGGTCATTTGGTTACCGGTCAGGAACACAAAGTGTGTAAGTTGATCAAATTTTTATATGGGTTGAAACAAGCTCCAAAACCATGGAATGGAAAATTTGACGTAGTGTTATTTATTTATGATTTACCTTAGTAGAAGTAGATAAGTGTGTTTGCACTAAATGTGAAAAGTTGTGTGCATTATTACTTGCTTGTATGTGAATGATATGTGTTTTGGGTAAGAAAGTCATAAGGATGATAGTATTATGCTGAAAAACTACTAAAGAGATTTGGGCATTTCAATGTCATTCCGTGAGTATCCCTTATGACTCTCATATGCACTTTAAAAAAATAGAGGTGATCTTGAGGCTCAATATGGGTATTCCCAAATCATACGAGGTCCAAAATAGCTTTTGCTGATGGGGAGCATTGGACTGTGTTGAGGCGGTTATTGAGATATTTGAGAGGTACCACTAATGATGGTATATTTGATTGAGATTATCCGTTGTAATCTATTGATACAACGATGATATGTTTCATTAAGAAATAACCATTGTAGAGCGGTACCATGACGTTATATGAGAATTATCCATTGTACTATAATGGTACAATGATGGTATATATTGAGAATTATCCGATGTACTAGAGGGTAACATTGATGTTATAAAAAATGGTGCAATGATGTTTGAGAATGGAATTATTTCCATTAATTTTGTGAAATCAGAAGGAATTAGCTACTCCTTTGACAGAATCCCCAGGACGAAAAATGATAACCGAAACATCGAAGGAAATGGGACTAGTGTCACTTGAAACAAATGGAAATGGGAACCCAACTTGTGTGATTGGAGATCCCATGAAGCAAGTTCAAATGGGTAATAACAAGTCTTCCATTTAGTTCTGCTAGCCTAACAAAAATACCCCATTTCCATGATGTGAGATATATGCTGGAAACCGCATTCTTTGAGAGGGTGAGCTAAAAGCTCTTAATGATTATCATAGTCCTTAACTAAAAGCTAAAAGCTCTTAACACATGATGATATCACCTATATGAGTGTGAGGTGGGGCCGCCTCCATGAAGCATGACAAAACTTCTAGAGCACTCATGAAAACCAAGCATGCGCATGGCCTTACGGCGCACAACGGCGTAATAACGAGAAATTGTGCGGGGTGAGACACGACCGTTAAGACCCTGATTTACCAATAGTAGCTTGTTGGTTCAATAAACTATACGTTTAACCAAAAGCTCGGTTTATTAAGACTTAATCGTCTCGGTTTGGTTCAAGTCTACGAACACCAGATTTAAAGTCTCATTCTTTTAATCTAGCAGTATTTTTTCTAAAATATTCATTTGAAATATGTGGGGGATTGTTGGAAAAATAAGAGTATTTCAAATGAATAAAATATCACAAAATAGTATTTGTGATAAAAAATGTTAGTTAATAAATATTTATTGAGTATTTTTTCAATGATAACGTTAAGCATGTTCATTTTGTTTGAGAAGTTTACAAAACGTATTTTGGTAAATGTTCAACTCTTGAACATTAAGTTCTTAAAGCAATAATAAATGTAAAATGCTTAACGTGCAGCTCAACTTTAAACTAACTTTAATCTAATTTAATGATGAACGTTTTTTACCTGAGAGCAATGTTTGGCTTTTCTACCAGTCGTTGGAAATCTGGCCAGCAACGTTCATATTGCTCATATATATGTGCGTTCGGCCATGGAATGAAGGTAGCTAGTAATAGATTAAGTATTTTTGAGCTAAAACATCCCCAAATATTTTCACTCTGCTGGATTAATATTATTTTCTACTCTCGTTGTTCTGTGACCGGCTTACGCCGAAGAGCTCGTTATATCTTGGGGAAAGATTTTCGTTAGTCAGAAATACTTTCTTGAGGACAGCGTCTGACGCATCTCGAGCTAGATTATTTTTCTAACGTTTTATTTTGCAGGTTTATCCGGCCAATTCCTCCAACATGTTCAACCTAAGTCTTGAAACGTGACTTGATCCCACAGACTTCCTACCTCTTTATACTTCACTACACAAATTCCAGAATCACCTCATGTCCAATTACTTTAAAAGTATAAATTGAAAGTGTGTTCATTTACTCTCATAAAAAGTCAAGAGTTCCGCTGCTGATTTCAAGCCACACAAAACGTTTAAGAATCAACTCTCAAAGAGGGAAAGGGACTCATAACAAAAAAAAAGATTTAAAAGTCTATTCACCCCCACCCCCCTCTAGACTTTTACCTCACTAAGGACCATCAAAAGGATTAGATGGAGGAGCTTGGAAAGGATGTGTCACCCACACAGTGAAGGAGGTTTGGGTTTTCTCGGGTCAAAGATTTTAATTTAGCTATGTTAGCTAAACAGGCATGAAGGCTGATGGTGGATGAATGAAGTCTTGTGAGTAGAATTTGTAAAGAAAAATACTATCCCAATTCTTCCTTCTTGAGTGCTCAGATGGGGAATAATTCTTCTTAGATATAGCAGAGTATTATGGTGCTTTGCAGGTCTTGTGAAGAGGAGTCAACAACGCACATTTTCAAAGGTTGTGTGGCGGCTACTGATGTGTGGCGAGAGGCGGTTTGGGGACAATATAATCTGACAGATAATTTTGAGGCATGGATCAAGACAAATTTGGAGGGGAATGACAAAAATCGATGTGGTCGGATTATTGCTATTTTATAGAGTCTGTGGAAACGGAGGAACAATCTTGTCTGGAAAGGTGAGAACCAAGGCAGTTTGGCAATAGTAAGAAGTGCAGACACTATGTTAGGGGCTTGAGGCACCCCAAATGAAGCATCGGGTGGGAGATAAAAGAAGTGTTATAGGGGCGGCAAAGTAGCAAAAACCTAGAGTGTGGGTGGTCAAAGTGAATATCGATGTTGCAGTAAATGGAATCAGGGCGTGGAGTTGGGTGGCCAGAATGGACCAATGATGCTTCATAAATGTGGAAAGCAGATCTTGGAGTAGTCATTGGAGTCCAGCTGAGTCGGAAGCACTTGGAATTAGAGATGGGAGATGGTGGAATTCGAGTAAGATGCACTACTAGTCGGTAATGGCGTGCGAGGTATGCAGGGTGAGTCGTATATCGATCTGATTTTTGAAAATTAGGAGTGTGTTTAGTCTCTCTTGTTGTAGAAGGTCTGCAAACCATCTTGCTCATACATTCGCTAGGAAATGTTTGTTATTACTAGACCAGTTTAGATATTTTGATGTTATTCTAGATAGTGTTGTAAGTCACATGGCGAACGATTTATTGGATTAATGATATGATTGTATTTTGCTTAAAAGTAAATATCAAGTTTTAAAAAGTGAACGTATCCATGGATCTCGTGATTTTCGAATACCCGGGTCAGACAGGGTTAGTGATTGGCCCGCATTTCTGGGCTGGTGGGCGGGTTCCGGTCAGTACGAGTGATCCAGGTCAGCTAATTCTCACAGGGTTAGAGAACTACGTTCAACAATTGACATTTGACAATGTTTAATTTATTAGTGAATTAACTAAATAGGACAAAAAATGGCCAACGAGCACAAATAGGATTACATGTTTGGACAAATATACATTGTAGCTTCTGAAATGTTTTTTTATTAATAATAAAATCGTAAAAAAATAATCAAAATAAAAAAAAATAATAAAAATCATAAAAAATAATAAAAATCCGTATAATATTTATAAAAAAAGTAAAAATAAATTAAAAAATTAAAATAATTAAAAACATAAAAAACACCGTCGCCTCTGCCACCCCCAACTCCCATCACTAGAGGAAATTTGCCAACATTTTTAGTAATGCCACAGTAATGGCAGATTCAATGAAAATTTTAACATTATGAAGAGTAATAATGTCATTTTCTTGACACTTTCTGAAAAAAAAAGACATTTTTTCAAAAATGTCAAAATTTTTACCAATCAGAGGTGGTGGTGCTGCGAGGTGGTGGGAAAGGTATCTATACTTTTTATGAGTTTTTACTATTTTTTAATTAATTTTTAATAAAAATACGAAAAAATATTTTGAAATTTTTATTTTATTAATATTTTATTTATTTTTTAATTTTTTAGGATTTTTAAAACTTTTTATGATTTTATATTATTTTTATGATTTTATGATGAATTACATTATAAATTACGGCATAATATTCTTAGAGATATTTATGGTAGAATTTTTTTCTTTTTTGAAAGTTTTATGGTAGAAAATTAGAAAATACTCCCTCCGGTTTTTATTAAACTTCACACTTTCCTTTTGGGGACGGTCTAAAATAAACTTCACACTTCCTTATTTCCTTTTTTGGCAAAGAAATCTACCTCAAAACAGTGCCAAACAGTGTCTCAACAGTGTCAAACAGTGTCTCAACAGTGCCAAACAGTGTCAAACAGTGCCTTAACAGTGTACAATACAGTAAAGTCAAATTTCTTTCCGTATTTTGTGTGAAGTCAAAATGTGAAGATAATTGGAGGTAGTAATATTTAGTCTTATTTGTTTTTTGGGAATCTTTAATCGGTAATTTCAGTTAATTGATATGAGCGGAGCGATTTTAAAGGGTGCCGTAGAAATTAAGCAACGTCCTAATTATATATAGTCATCTTCATTCTTCGCCCATCAAGGAAGTTCTGGGATCACCCGTAGACCGTAGTCATCATCTTCATTCTTCACCCATCGAGAAAGTTCTAGGATTAGCCGCCATGGCAGAGCCCTCGAAAAGTTGGGCTGATGAGGCAGATGAATCTGAGTCTAGCTCTGAAGTTGCAATTGCTTCTTTGGCGTTGAGTGAATCCAGTAATGTCAACCAATCCATCTCTAACCCTGACGACGACAGTATCCAAACCGTAAGTTCACTTCTATTTTAAACCGTATTAATTTCTAATAACTGTTATGTTTATTTGGGTTAATTAAATGCTATCTGAGTTCGGTTTTGGTGAATTAGGTTACATCTGGGGACACTCTGTATAAATCTGCTAAAACATTCGAAGACTTGAACTTGTCACCGGAATTGTTGAGAGGATTATACGTGGAGATGAATTTCGAGAGGCCTAGTAAAATTCAGGGCATATCTTTGCCAATGATTCTAACTCCACCCCATAAGAATCTGATCGCCCAGGCTCACAATGGATCTGGAAAAACAACATGCTTTGTGCTGGGAATGTTGAGCCGAGTTGATCCTAGACTCGGTGCCCCTCAGGCTCTCTGCATCTGCCCCACTAGAGAACTTGCCATTCAGGTGTGTACATATTAGCTGTATTTTTTCACTACGATATTATCTGACTGAACCAGAGTATACAAATATTTAATAGAGTATCATAAGCACAACATTGATAAAGTTGCTAATTCAAATGCATCATGTGATTTATGCATTCTGGATGCCATTTGTTCATAAAATTGGCTCTAGATTGGAGTAAAACATAACACGTGTATCTAAATGGGAGCCTTTAATCTTTTATCCCTCAATAGGATTGTTATATCATATACGTATACTTTTTCCCCAAAAACACCAACACTCTTTGACAATGTACGTGGTGGCAGAGAAATATAACGACAATACTAATAACAGTAGAGGGGCAATGTCATGAGTTAAGTGTGTTATGGGTAACAATGTTATTCATGTCAGTCTTATAAAATTTCACCACAGCCTAACATAGGTGGCCACAATCTGGTGGTGGTTGCCGGCATCCACCACCAGAGGCAGCGAATTGTTGTAAAAAAGCATTGTTGTTCTTTAATTTTGAATGAGGCTTAGTCATTTTCAATCATCCTATTTTCAGTCCTATATAAGTTTAAAACTTAGATAATCTTATTTAGGTATTTTGCCTATGTTTACTCCTGTTAGATCTTTTCACTTTTGTTAAATGTTTTGGTGTTCAGCCTTCAAAATGCTTTATGTGATCATAGTCGTGTTCTATTGGAAATTTGGAATTTTTCGCTTCTAAACCATATCAAAATCACCGACTTAACTTGCAACTCATTTTGCTACAACTAATACCATACCAAACTTGGAATACACCACAGCACACCAGAACAAATATGTTACCAAAAGAATAGGTCCTTATAATAATCAATTTTATTTATGTGTTATAGTTCTACTACCTCCGGCTCCGTCCCAAAATAAATCTTTCACTTTCCTTCTTGGATGTCCCAACTTCCATTAAATTCTTCGCATTTCCTTTTATGGAGTGATTTGTGTAGCTAACATTTATTTACCCTTTTTCTAACTCAACCACAATCTTACATTTCCACTTTAATCCTGCTGTATTAATAAAAAGTGTGCCAAGTTAAACTGGGAAGTATTTTTGGGATGGAAGGAGTACATAATTACCGATTTGGATCTCTATTGTCTTTGACAATTTATATCACAGGTCAGTTCGATAGAGTTACAAACATAAGACTTGAAAATGTATTAATAGATGTGTATCAGATGATGAAATTAAAAATAAAATTAAGAAAAAATACTGCACCCATTTGTTGCCTCATTCTGTTGAGGTTTTGCCAGTTTTGCTGCCTCACTTTATGCTTAGAACTTCCACATGTAAGAATTTAATGTTAACAAAGAGGTGTGAAAAAAGGGGGGTGAAACTGTCAATTGACATATCAAACTGTAATATAGTAAACTATTTTCTTTCTAACTATCTCTTGGATTCTGTTGCAGAATATGGAAGTTTTGTTAAAGATGGGAAAATATACTGGTATAACATCAGAACTGGGCATACCACCAAGCAAGGACAACTATGTTCCAATTAATAAGCGACCCCCTATTACAGCTCAAGTCATAATTGGTACCCCTGGGACAATTAAAAAGTGGGTTGTTGCTAAGAAATTGGGCACAAGTTGCATGAAAATTCTGGTATTTGATGAGGCGGACCACATGTTAGCAGAGGTAATTGTGTTGTTCTATTTCTGCATGATGGTCAATATGTTGTCAGCCATCATATGAACCTCTATTTTGATCTCCTTTCTAAAAGAAACAGATAGTGTCTGGTATCCAAAAGTTTGCTGCAGGCAGATATTTATTTTTTGAATTTAGCATACATGCAATTTAGGTTGCTCTTTCATTATCCAAAAATGCTGCCACAGTTCGTACTTTTTTCCCTGTCTAGTTTATGCATCCCAATCAGCACAAGTCAAGTAATGTGTTTTATATAATTGAATATTGAATTTTTACTAAACACGCGTGGATGCCTTTTCATGAAACAAAATTTTTCTTTTGAATGTAATTTCTTCTCTTGTTTGCTCTCACGTTGTGCATGTGTCTTTAAGGTTTTACTCAGCACCTGGTGCTTTTTAAACATCATGCTTTAGTTTTCTGTCAAATGAGGTTCTGAACTATTATGTGGTTATCCGCTTTTGAGTGCCAGTATTTTACATGGTCAAGAAAAGTGGAGCATTTCCCTGTTTGAAGAACCTTATTGAGCTAATTCAACAACCAACTGAACTACCAAAATGAATAAAAAACGTGGCACACATGAATTACTTTTTGAAAGGTGTTTGATTAAATTGGTTGAGGTAGAGGACAAATTAATTGCTTTTCAAGGATTCTTGACGTGTTAATTGTCCTAACTGATATTGGTTCCCAAAACAAAGGCAACTCACATATCTGATCTATCTTCCAATGCAGGGTGGCTTTCAGGATGACTCTATAAAAATAATGAAGGCCATTGTAAACGGCAAAGCCGATTGCCAGGTCAGAGATCAAAACATTCTACTAAGGAATTATAAGTTATAGTTTTTTAAGAATCAATTTTCCTCTATATGATGCAAGTAACTCAACTAAACCTTAGAATCAATCATCTTTGGTTTGTGAAAACTAAAAAACCTTGGATTATATATTTATATATTATTGTGTAGATGATTGTAGAATGTTGTGTTTCTATGTATACAACAACAATACAACAATATCCAAGCCTTAATCCCAAGAATTTGGGGTCGGTTATATTGGAGAAAATACTAAACAGAGAAAAATGAGAAACAAAAACAGATCAATCCTTAAGCCGAATACTCTCTCGCTCTCTACTCCGCTCTTTCCAAAGTCATACACTCATACTCATTTCTAACCGAAGAAGTACTATATAATTTTTGACCTCTCTAATTCACATGTCTAGCCCGCTCTCTCCCTTGCCTCCCATGCCTCCTCTCCCACCTCTCAAATTGTCTAACAACTGCATCATTTCGTATTCTACACGTATGGACAAATCGGTGCAGTCCAGACTCTTGCATCTTATCTTCAACATGTGGTACTCCCACTTTTGGCCTCATTTCTTAAACAGTCTTTTCTAGTATTTCCACACATTCAAAGCAACTTTCACATCTTAGCCGCACTCATTTTTTAATATAACATTG